TTCAGCAAAGACGACCAACGTTAACAATACAATTTGTCTTCGTGATTACTTCTCATTATTCTACAAGATAAACTCGAGATTAACTGATTCTGGACTGGATATGGGATTTGTTGGAATCGATTACCTATTGCAATAAACCTCAAGCAGTATCATGTATAATTAATTTATGGGTTCAGATGCGATTGTAGAATGATGTAGATAACTCTAAACCTAACCCCCCGGGAACTGGTCCTTGCCCGACATATCGTATATCAATTGTAAATTGAATATCTCAGGAAGTGATTTGGGGATCCATCACAACGTTTCACTGCTCTTTCAATTCACGAAAGAAGTGAAATGCCTAGACCCCTTATCTACTTTTAACAGCATTGTTATGTTGGGAAGGTGAAGTAAACGGGGGGGGGGGGGGGTACATCCGTCTTGAGGCAAGACTATGAAATATCCTTGACCAAATGATGGTCTTCGGGAACACAGTTTCGTTATTAATCCCTTGAGGTATTAAATAATATTTATTAAATCCATCGTACTCAACAAGAGTTCATGATTTTTTTATAATTAGATAAATATTAATTAACTTGTATGAAACAAGAAATGTATAATTCTTACATGGTTTGACACACGTTCTTTCTTGAAATCTTCCCATCATTATATTTTAGTTTTCAATCAAATTATTCCCAAATAATTGTGCTATCTATCTCATCTTGTAATACAGAACCAAGTAACTATTATAGCCTTTGGTCTTGAGAACTTAGAGCAGTTAAAATGTCTTAGGCATACAATATGTTAAGGTAGTTCTATATGATCATATTGAATATCATTTCCATGATAATCATTTCCAATATTGTGGTAGGATACAATATATTTCAAAACAAAATATTACTATTGCGATTATGTGCATGACATCATAGAATTCGCTCGAGAACAATCGTACTGGATTATTCAATACTTAAATGTCCAAGGAGCGTCCAGACTTTATCTCCGAGAAAATTGAGAATCTGAGCAGATATAGCAAGTATAAGAACTGGTAAATATTGGGAAGGAGATCAATGGCCTTGTATGCAAAAGTGGGTACTATTTCACATCCGACGATGCTATGAATAATGAATACAATGTAACTGAAAAATCATTACTGTATTGGAACGATGACGTACTCTCGAGATCATACCATGAAGGGCAAAATAATCATGATCAATTTTTCATGATACTAGTAATTATTTTATGTAATACCGATCTTTCAAAATGATGATTCCATTGAAATATACGTGACCTCTATGTTTCCTAATGTGATGCCTCTCCATTCATTATGGGTAACGACCTGTTAATGAGGACAACAAGTATTGTCTTCATTTATGTCTGCATGTATATCGATCACTTTACAGTAGTCAAAACAAATATACAGATTACAGTAGCACATTCTCATGTTTGTTGAGCATTTAGGACATTTTTTCAAAACAATCCAAATTTCAAGATACAAAATGTCGTTTTAATTAGATAATATGTAATGCCACGCAATGGAGGACACGCCATCAGGTTACTTCATTACGATTTGATTACTCCAGGGAAATCACATCACGCGATGCAATTGTTTTAAATACATCCATTATCTTGCTGGTTTCTCCCATTCGTAAACACAATTTTAACATAATATGAAAATCGCTAATAGGGGACCTCGCCTCTTCGTCCTATTGTGTTTTGCCAGGAAAATGATATTTAGGAGAAATTTGACCCGTAGAATATGATTGTTGCTGCTCGAAATGAAAATGGATTACGCACTTTCATCTCTAAATGCAGGCCCGTAAGACACTTTTCTCCAAGGGGGGTGCGGTTTTTAGAATATAAAATTGTCATTTTTTTGCCGCGTAAATCAAATCGCGTAAGACAGAGGGGGGGGGGGGGGGGGGTCAGTTACTCCCTATATTGGTTTGGAATTAACAAATGCAACTTCCAAACGTTCCATTTGTTTTGTGGGGGGTATGAGGAGTGGTCCACTCCCCCTAGAAAATTTTACAGTTTTGAGATGCTATTTGGTGCTTTCTGGGCACTTTCAAAGTGTAAGTTTCTAAGTAGTACGCCACCACCACGGGAATAAGAGTTGAGTGAATAAAAAACCAAGCATTCAGGGGGGTCTGGTTCTCCCCCAGGAAAATTTTGAAATTTGGTTGTATTTGGAGCGAATTTGCAACCATCTGGTACGCCTGTGCGTTATGAGTCAATAAGAAAAATGTGAATTTTTTTCAAATTCTTTTTGGGGTGTCAAAGAGGATGAGAGGGTGAAGTGGGGTGGGGTACCAGTAGGGAGCAAGGGGTTGTCCCCCAGAAACATTGACCATATCAAGGTGCTATTTGATGATGTCTGGGCACTTAAAAAATGTCTGAGACAATACATGAAATTCAGAATATTTTGTTTTGTTTTGTGGGGGATGTGAGGGGTGGCTAACTCTCCTAGAAAATCTTACAATTTAAAGATGATATTTGGTGCTTCTGGGCACTTTTAAAGTGTATTAGTCAATAAAAACATTGAAAAACAATCACAATTTTTTTCAAATTTTGGGGGTGTCAAAGGGGGGGGGGGAGGGGTGCCAGAGGGGGAGGTGGGGCTGGGGTGCCAGAGGGGGAGCAAGTGTTTGTCCCCGATATCAAAATTTACAATATCAAGGTGCTATTCGATGAAGTTTGGGCACTTTAAAAGTGTCTGTGCCTAAAAGTGCCTTTTTCCCAAGAAGCTTTCTGGGCACTTTCAAAGTCAATAAAAAAATTTGAAAAATCTCAATTTTTTTTTTGGGGGGGGGGTGTTAAGGGGGGTAGTCTTCCAGAATCATTAACTTTATCAAGGAGCTATTTGATGATGTCTGAGCAATTTAAAAGTGTCTGAGACAATACATAAAACAAATTCAGAACCTTTCCATTGTTTTGTGAGGGGTGGCCCACTCCCCCTAGAAAATTTTTCAATTTTACGACGCTGTTTGGTGCTTTTTGGGTACTTTCAAAGTGTATGAGTCAATTAAAGAATTTGAGAAAATCACAATTTTTTTTTTTTGGGGGGGGGTCAAGGAGGGGGCAGAGGGGGGGGGGGCGCCAGAGGGGGGGGGGGGGCTATGCAAGTGCAAGATGCAAGAGGGGGAGCAAGTCCCCCAGAAACACTAACTATATCAAGGAGCTATTTGATGATGTCTGGGCACTTTAAAAGTGTCACTAAAATAAATTTAGAACTTTTCCATTGTTTTGTGGGGGGGGGGTGTGAGGGGTGGCCAATACCCCTAGAAAATTTTACAATTTTAAGATGCTATTTTGTGATTTCTGGGTACTTTTAAAGTGTATGAGTCAATGAAAAAAAAATTACAAAAAAATATTTTTCAAAAAAAAACATTTTGAAAAATTTTTTTTTTCAAATTCATTTTTGGGGGTGACAAAGGGGGGTGCGGTCGCACCCATCGCACCCCCCCATCTGACGGCCCTGAAATGTATATGGCTAAGTAGAGTATACAAAAATCATTTGTGATAGTCAGTCCTTTTATACAAATTTGTATATTCTAGAAATATTTAGGTGCTTGTAAAGTATGCTATCTGTAGCTAGCGAGTGAAAAACTACACCTTAATTAAATAACATACTCGTATATCTACCGTTTATTACTTTATAAAAAGCATATACCTCCAAACTATCTTTATCTCGACTTTTCAGGTTACACCCTAGAAAAACAATGTTTTAAATTTACATGCAAATATGTACCGAAGTTCTTTGTACGGCAATAAATCAAGGTTGACTTTTGACAAAATTGACTCGCTTTCAGATTGGTTTATTGCTAAATTAATACGATATAATGATGCAATATTTGCAGTATACATATATTACTACAGGGTGATCAATAAATAAGGTAAAAGTATCTGGCATTTCTTCAGATTTTACCCAATCCTCATAACACTTGCACAGAATAATGTTCAAACATTATTGAATTGATATATAAAGTTACAGATCAAAGTGATATGATTGGTTGAAGTTATGGTTGCCATAACAACAGAAAGCATGAAGACCCGGGGCAACTATCAAAACACTAAATTTTCAGTCGAAGCACTTTTGATAATATATTTCAAATCATAATTGAAATGGCATAGCATATTCTTATTTTATACTTCATCACTACTCTACCTAATGTCCTTTGTTTTTAACATATAGTTCATGTCTTCTACTCCATACAGTCTTTGAACACCTTTTTAAACCCATTTTCCCATAGACTGCAAATTTTCAAGATAGCTGACTTCAAGTCTTCCCACGAGAAACTTCCTCAACTCCCTCTTCAGCTTACCATGAAGGTAAAATCATAAGGGGACAAGTCAGGAGAGTATAGTACATGACCTAACAGTGGAAAACACAGTGCTTCAATGGTTTGTGTCGTATGAATAGCATTGTGAGACGGAGCATTATCCCAGTGCAATGTGAAACATTATGCGGGCCTCTTAGCTTCTTCCTCTTTGCTCTGATCAAATCTCTTCTTTGGAAATTGTTTTAACATCATTGACCTGCCTGTGTCATAGACTTTCTATGATCACATCAGTTTTCATTATATATTTATCTTTTCTGTGACATCAAACATCAAATTTGCAAAAGAAAAATGTAGCAATGAAAACAAAGTATTAAAACAATAAATGCTGGCACCCACGTTTATTTCTTTTCAGTTTGAAAAAGATGTGCTTTTTATCATTTTTTTGTTCAAATTGGATGCAATGAAATTGCCCCGGGTACCCCAGACTCCAGTTGCCATGGTAACTATAATATTAACCAATCATATGGCAGAAGTTATATATTTATATGTTTTAATTTAGAAATGTACAAGGTATATTCTGACCAAATTTCAGGATGTTTGGACCAATATTTACAAAATGCCAGATACTTTTACCTTATTTATTGATCACCCTGTAATTATTACATATATTTAATTGTACAATATATCGTATTTAATGATAAGGGTTCGATTTGTTATTTATGTTTTGTTGTGTATTTTCAGAATTGGTGAAACAGAAATGCGACAATAATCCGGATAAGCTGGACAGACATCGATCGGAATAGAAACCGACCATTAATGAACATAGAGATGTAGTTTTGTCACAGTTCGACGACCCACCTATAGACGAGTGACATCAACACACAATTGAATACCTTTAAAATGGTGTCTACATAGCAAAACTATAATAAAAACTATTGTTAAAGCCAACGATGTTGCCAAGGAAATCCACAATCACAAAGTGGTTGATGTTTGTGCTAATATTAGGGGGGATGTTATACACAGTGATAAACAACAATGCCTCGCCAGTTAACAAGGAGATCGAGATACGAAAACTTTTGGAATACGCAAAAGATCCAATTATAAATAAACCGCCGAAAGGAGAGAAGGATTTAGAGAACCACAGTGGAAAAGTCTACTCGTCTATTAATTCTAGTGCTGGCCATGAAAATCAACCCAATCCATTAACTCTCACACCCCCAGTCAACCCGCATAACTTTAAGTATATGATAAAGCCAAAATATCAATGTGACGACAGTGTGTTCCTAGTGGTATATGTCCATTCCCACCCTGATTATTACAAAAGGAGAATCCTCATTAGGCAGACATGGGGAAACCCCAAAAATTATAAGGAGAAAATCCGGGTCATTTTCATCATGGGGAAGGGGTTGAAACAGAAAGTTCAAGATAGTTTAATGTTTGAAAGTGAAACCTACGGGGATATTGTGCAAGAAGACTTTATAGACTCTTATAAAAATCTAACTTACAAAGGTATAGCTGGCTTAAAATGGGTATCAGAAAACTGTGCTCACACTAAGTATACCCTTAAAACTGACGATGATATATTTGTAAATATGTTTAACTTACTGCGACATCTTAAAAGTATTTCAATGCATGATCTAGGAAGAACTAAACTTGTCTTATGCCTGACTTGGCATGCGATGAAAGTTCTTAGAGACAAAAATAGCAAATGGTACATTGCTAAGGAGGAGTTCGAGCCAGATCATTTCCCACCATACTGCTCAGGGTCTGCCTTTATCTTCTCAACTGATGTAGTGAAAGATATGTTTGAAATCTCATTGACGATAAAATTCTTTTGGGTTGATGACTATTATATCACAGGGGCTCTTGTGAATAAGCTAGGGCTCAACCACACTCAATTTATTTCAGTGTACTCTCTGCAGAAGCCCAAATTCGAGGAAAATTTCAGTGGCCCAAAGGGAGACCTTTACATCTTTGCTCATACACACGAAGCTGATAAAATCAGAAAAGTGTGGAAACGGATTATATCTAAAGAAGGGAAATCAATGAAAAGCGATTATTTGCTTTCATCTTAGTGTCATCTAAATCAGAGACATATAAAATTATTTGTCTCTGTCTAAATGTAGGTTTCTTTCACCCGTGTTTATTTCATGCCCGGGAATACTGCAGGTCGATATGGCGCTGAACGAAATTTAAAACAAATAACAGGTTACAAGACGGCCATTGATGTGATTCACACTGACATTCCATGTCCAAAAGGAAATAGTATCAAAGTGACAGGGTCTTATCAATAAACTGCATACGTACAGTATTATATAGAATATCCTGACTAGTGATCGACCAAGATATTACTGTTATCCACCGAGGAATATCTGCATATCTGCTATAAGGCTTAATGATACAAATATTTGACGAAAAATACTTTTTTGAAGAGATACATAGATTATGGTTTACCTAGCTTCATAAAATGATTTAGATCAATCATACAGTACAAGATGATATTTACTTTTCGCCATCAGTATTATGTACTTATTCAAGTTGGATCAGTAGCCAGAACGTGTCATATAAATAGAAGCGAAGCGTAGTCGCATTTTAAATTTTGATTATAAATATCAAGGGGGATTCGCTCCCAGCATTATTTGGCGATATTCTTTAACTGGCATGGATCGAATTGGTAATACATTACAACGTTCATCTCCAGACCAAGTATATAGTATTACCATTACCACAAATTGGTCCATGGCAGTCATAAGAAGATCGCGAGGGAATGGTGGGGGTCAAGCCCTACTCGATTACATGCATTGCATTGCATTGTATTTGTACAAATATAGGCGTAGCCTGGGGGAAGGGGGTTCGTGCGATGATTCCTTTTTTGGCTCACATATGCCACGATCGCACCCCCTGACTGAAAACCGAAAATGTTTTGGTGATCGCACCCCCCCCCGCCCCTGACTGAAAGCTGGCTTCGCCAATGACAGGAATCTAGTTGCGCAGCTTTGTAATTAGCATTATGGAGATATTTTATTAACAAGTGATGTGAAAGTGTTCGTGATATATATCAATGCGATTTTATATGTTATCCAAGAAGCGAGAAAGTCTGTAATTCATGAAAAAACAGCAGAGTCTTTCGACTTTGATTTTTGACCAAGATTTTACATATCAAGAATTGTAAATTTAAGTAGCCGTCTCGTTAGTAGAAATGTTGTTTAAACATCTGTAAAATTACAGTAACTTTTAATTTAATTAGTTGATGACCATAATACAGGTAGATTTCCCTTTTTGTCGGGTTTTATTCTAAAGCGGTACCAATCCAACCATGCTATTTACCATTGACTCCGGTCTGTACCTTTTCCTCGTTTTGGAAATCAAATATCACATTTTATACATCGTATGGGGCCAGGGGGGGGTAACTCCAGAGTTCAAAGAGTGACAAAATGTTATGAAAAAGAACCCATATAGATAAACCGAATTGCTAGTAAAATGTAGATCAGGGATTATTGAGCTATTTTATAATGATGGTTGCCAAAATGTCATGGTACAACGTGATGAAAATCTGAAATATAATTTTAACAAAATACGTTCCTCTTTGTGTTAGACCAACGAATGATAAGCAATACATTTTGAATTATTTTGAATTGCAAAAGTCTGCATCTACATAATAGTAAGCCCATGATAGCAGATAAATAGTTTAACAGTGATAGAATTTGAATAGAATATAATTCAAACCTAAAACATTTACAAATAGATCTATGACTTGGTTTCAACTCATTTTAAAATGAAAGGAAACTTCCCGGTTGGCCATAAATTCAAATTGTACAAATGTTTTTTCAGCGCTACCGTTATTCAAAATATCCGACGAAGCGTTTTGAGTTGCAAAAGCCGATCCCTTATGCTTACTGTCTAATGTTGAGAAAAATACGTTTCCTGTATTAGCATGGTTAAACACCTGAACTATAACATGGAAGTGGCGAACGTATTTTTGAGAAGGTAGAAGTTTTTGATATAGTCAATGCCATAAGAGTTTGCAGCAGTTTCCTCAGAACCGGATGATGCAATGTCCACTGCGTCATTGCCATTGGAAGGATTTAATGTGTAATATGAATTGTAAGCATACGATAAAGTATGTTTGATAAGACAAGATATATATTATGTCTTCTTTTAAAGTAAATAGTGTATGTGTCACATTTTTATCTAGAGCAACTGTAGAGCAATAACAATAGAGCGACTTTTTTGTTACATCAATGTTTTAACTAGTCATTGCAACTGATTTTATGTAAAACACACAAAATAAATTAAAATGTTACACATTTATAATGTTGCTTGATGGTATCCTTCTACTTTTAATGGCTTATAACTGTTAATGCCCTCTACAATAACATTGAAACATTTTAAAATCATAATGATATGCAAATTATACAATTTATATTGACACGGAAATACTTCTTTGTGGAATTATTGATGGTTGAATTAAATTGCTTTTTAAAATGGGAGGGAAACGTTGGGTTTAGTTTTTTCCAGCTTCGAAATTGTAGTTCTGATTCACTTACCCTACCCTTTGCATTCGTTTGACTTCACTTCTTAAAAGAGAGCTTCGTCTTGTAGTTTAACTAGACTCTGCACGCAGGGTAACTTACCCCCACCCGGTTATACTATTTGGATCGACCTCCTTCTTGGTGAAAATGATGAACATAAAAATTACCTCTGGCGGAAGTTCATCCAAAAGACGTAACGTCTCAAGCAGGTGGGGACCAGTGTGAATATTGTATAGATTTTTAAGCTTTGCTATTTTTAGAAGAGACGGTTTGTGTCCAGATGTATTGTTACATATCATTATGAATCACGCTTAGAGTCAAGGACAAAAAATGTACTTGGGCAAAAAGTACAGTTATTTATAAGTCTACGTACAGCAAATACATGTATTAAAAGGGAGAGCAGTTGGTATTCAAGCAGTTAGAAGAACATAGCCTTGCCCAAATCGATATTATCTTAATTTTAAAGGAATCAAATAGGTGCCAATCACCATTTTAGGTTTTGAATTTGGTGATTTGATGAACTGTACGTGTGAACCGAACAAGAAAGGTTACATACGCTTAGCTCATAGTACACTGATGATTTTTCATGATGAAGTCAAACGAATGCAAAGTGTGCAATTTTGAATATGGTGCTCGCTCGTTTGAATAAAGCATTCGTGTTTTGTACTTTTCAGGAAATTCAAATAGATGGCATTTGCGTAGTTTGTTAAAGTTTACTTCCTCTTACACCTATTTCGTTTCATTCAGTAAAAGGTCCATGTGCAGTATGGCAAGTGATTTTAGATAGTCATATCTTACCATGAGTACTTTCTGGCCATAAATACCAGGGGCGGATCCAGGAACCAACAAGGGGGGGGGCCCAAATTTGAGATCCGAGAAGAAACGTCCGCGCTTGCGCGGAAAAAAATTTTGGGCCCCTAAAATCCAATAGTGGGCCCAAATTTTGAAATTTTGAGGCCCATTTTCTTCAAAATTTGGCCTGAAATTAACAAATAAGGCCTTAAAAGGCCCAGTAATGACCAAAAAGGCCCACTTTTTGGGGCCTGAAGGCCTTGTTTGGCCCAAAAAATTTTTTGGGCCCAATTTTTTTTTCTGGGCCCACCCAAGGGGGGGGGGCCCGGGCCCCTGGGCCCCCCCCCTAATCCGCCAGTGAATACAGTGACTTTTATTAAAACAATATATTTTATTTCAAGTGAAGTGCCCATAATGATGAAAATATCAATATTTACTCAAAAGAGGATCTCCTTTTTCTGTTTATTATTGCAGGAAAAGATTGTTTAACAAGGGGTCTAAAACTTCTTCAAAAGTAGTCAATGCAAAAAAAGTAGTCAAAATCTAGTGTGATGAGGGATATTACAAGCAAAACAATTATGGATTACTATTTATAAACAATCTGGAAATACTTATGTAAGGTGACTATACATACTATATTGTAATATCTTGGAAATTTGATCAGTTAACTCTACAGTTTTTTGATGGAAAATATTTGATAGTACAGTGGCCCATATTTACACTATGACAAATAGTTTCTACAACATTGATTAATTCCAAGATTATAATCTGTGACAATGCCACATCATAACCGTACTAAAGGGAATGCATCCAACTCAACCTCTCCTCAAGTCTCAGCTAAGTCAAAACTTTTATCTAATGTGGAACTCAATGGTAATTGTGATACATCTCTAGCTGTTCAATTACAAGCTTTGACTGAGGAAATTAAAGTGCTCAAATCTAAACAAAACTCTGATTCAGAACTTATAAAATCACTACAAGAATCTGCTGAAGCTAATGCTGTTGAAATATTGGAACTTCAACATGAAATTGAATATCTAAAGGATCATCAAGTTATCTCTGAAGGGCGCCAGGAACGTACAGATAAATATATGGATGTTATGGATCAACGTGTAATTGATATAGAAAAACGCTCTATGAAGGACAACCTAATCTTCTTCAATATACCTGATAATGCTGATGAAAACAATAATGACACTCGTAAAATCTTAAACAAAGTCATTAAAGAAGACCTAGGAATCAAAGAGGATATTGGAGTTGACCGTGTTCATAGAATAGGAGCACCAAGATCAGATGGGAAGCCTAGATCAATTGTAGCAAAATTCAATCCATATCGTGGCAAGGAACTGATTCTCTCAAACTGCTATAAACTGAAAAACACCAAAATCTCCATCTCTGAGCAATACCCCAAACCCATCATTGAAAAACGAAAGTATGTATTTGAGCAAAAAAAGAAGATTACAATATCTGATCCAACTGCTAAATGCAAAGTCATAAAAGATGATCTTTTTGTCAATGGAAAACGTGTCTATCCTCATACTATTCCAGCTCCCGACATAAACTATCCAGAATCTGCCACCACTATTCCAATTAATCATGGTCCTTTGATATCTGACAACGGGAACAGATATCAAATTCATATTTCGCCAATAAAGGATCCCAGAATGGTCAGGCCCACACTACTTAAACTATACACCGACCAACTTGTTGCTAAAGCGGACCACAATGCTTGGGCCTACAATATTGGTGATGACAAAAATAGTAGAATGGACTTCAACGATGACGGTGAAATTGGTGCAGGAAGGCTGATGAGGCAACTCTTCGACAATCATGAGATACGAAATTACATGATCATCATATCCAAATGGGATGATGGTAAACCCAACAACACGTGGAAAGTTATGCGTTCCCAGATTGAAGAAGTACTGAAAACAATGAAAATGTTTAAATCTTAATTTGAGCCTCATAGGCTGCGGTATGCACTTGTACTATTGCAACATTATTGCAACAACCTGTGTGTATAGGACTTACATGTACTATAGTTCAGTAGGTCATTGAAAGTTCAGAATATTCCCCCACTCACTCTTTGGCTTTACATACTTGTACTATTTGTGCCTTATTCTAATAGGCTACTATGTACTTATATTGTATGTGTTTGTATGTATTACATTTTGTTTATGGTTTGGTAGGAAATCCACCTACCTACATTTTTCAGTGTTCAAGTTTGAAAACTTTTCAATTCTCTTTTTATCTACAATTAATACACAATGTTACTAGCTACTATATATGTCATAATGTTGACACCAAATATTCCTATAAGATGTACATACTATTTCAAAACAAATGCATAACATTTTATGATCATAATGCCTGAAAATAACATGATTGGTACATGGCTTCAATTGCCATTTGCCTCTTTATTTGAAGATGACTTTATAGATACTGCTCCA